TTCATGGTTTCCTTTCTGAGGACCCAACTTAAGATAACCATTAATGTTTGGGCTGCATTCCCTTTGATGGTGTATTATTTTGGAGTGAGATTAGACTGATTTTTTTTTTTTAATTCTATCTATATTTTGGGCTCTGTCAGAGATTGGTATCAAACTTTTACATAAAAGAAGGATTTAAGTTCTGCTTAACTTCCTGAATGATTCATATAGTACAGGAATACCTCAGAAATATTGCGAGTTCAGTTCCAGACCACTGCAGTAAAGCAAATATCACAGTAAAGCAAGTCAGATGAATTTTTGGTTTCCCCATGCATATAAAAGTTATGTTTATACTGTAGTGTAGTGTGTTAAGGATGCAGTAGCATTATATCTTAAGAAACAATGTACATACCTTAATTTACCTTATTAAAATATACTTTATTGCTAAAAAATGCTAACCATCATCTGAGCTTTCAGTGAGTCATAATCTTTTTGCTAGTGGTGGGTCTTGCCTTCATGTTGATAGCTGCTGACTGATCAGGGTGGTGGTGGTTGAAGGTTGGAGTGGGGGAGAGTATATATGTGCTGATTTCCACATTTCTCACAGCAAGAAGTTAATAGGAACTATCTAAAATTGAAATAGGTAGTTTTAAAAAAGGGCCTCAGATTGCTTTATATTTTTCATAGTCTTTTTCTTGTCTTTAGAAGGATCATTTAGAGGAGAGGAGTCATATTAAAAATGCTTAGCTGACTTTCAGAGTTCATTTAGATTCATTTAATTTCCGTTTTTTCCTATACATTCAAGTAAATCTAACTTACGTTAAATCTTTAAAATAGCATGAACTAACATTCATTCCAATTCTGTAAAACTACTGTAAAATGGTTAAGAATCTGAATTCTTGATTCATATTGCTAGTGTGACCCTGGGAAGTTTACAAACCTTTCTGTCTGAGTTTGTAAAATGAGATTGATAGTCCCTCGTTTATGGTTTACAGTTAACCCACATAAAGCTCTTAATACAGGGCTCAACTGTTAGCCACAGTTATCTCCTTCCATCTCTGTTATTTATAAAGATGTTATTCATATCTATAATATTACTAAATGTTAATGATAGTTGTTTCTGAGTGATGGGATTTGGGGTGATTTTTATCTTTTTCACATTGTTCTATATTGCTTGATTTCTTTTTTACAATGAATAACACAAAGCTGTCCCTTAAAAAATAAAGTAAAAAATACAAATTTTAGTTGTCCCAGACCTTCTTTTGCAAATGAAATCTCAATTGTGATGCCTGAAAATCTATATTTTTAAAATGCTCCTCAGATAATTCTGATTACATACCAGGTTTGGAGAACAGTTGGCAATGAGAACTTCCCTCCTCTTAATTTTAATATCTTAGAAGCCCCTGTAATGTGCAACTTAGTTACACAAGGTCTTCCTGTCTGGCCTATTTCAGCACTCTTGTTAAGAATCTGAAGAGTTGAGGGTGCTGATTTTTGTCAAAAATCAGAGTAAGGTTTTGGGTGCGTTGTACCCATTTGAGATGGCTATTTTATCCCAGGAACAAGAAAGAAAAATCAGAGTAAACAGAAATTTAGTCTAAAGGCAAGAGTCTTTGAAATTGGAAGAGTATGGAGTAAAGCAACAGGGATGAGCCAGCATATGCAGGTTGATAATGCTCTGGAGGAGGAGGGGTAAGAGGATGGTAGCCATCCAATAGCATCACAAGATATTTTTTAATTAAAAACAAAATTTTAACATCAGGAAGTCAATTTTCCCTCCACTCACCCCATAACAGGTGTGTTGCTAAAAAAGTGCCACCTCAGCTAAGAAAACCGTATCCATAAATATGTCACTAGTTTACTACAAACAATAAATCCTCCATGCTGCAGAAGTAGACTTGTTCTGAAACTCAATGTCTTTTGGAAAATGGTGGGGTGGCAGGTTAGTTTTCATAGTTACTGGAGCTGGATCAGCACTTATTTGATATAGTCACTGTCTCGCAGTGCTTCTCCTTCTCAGTCACAGTGCTCTGTGTGACTGTTGCTTCTGTAGCAGTGGAGAATTCATTTGGACTGTGCCCTTCTGAGACTGTGAAGTGATTGTATCTGGTATTAAGGTGAGGAAAGTCACGGCCAGTACAAAAAGAAAATCAAAACCAGTGTGCTAGAAGGCAGAGTGTCAGAGAATCAGATGTGGGAAATTACACAGTGTGGCTCTTAGAGGATATCTCAGTTTAAGTGTCTGCTAATGTTACCTTAATAGCCTTCCTTCAGGGTTATTGCTTCAGTCTTACTCTGCTAATCTTTTTACATTTACCATAAGAAAATTGGCATTATGACACCTTTCATTCACTTCTCTTGGCTTCATGTTTGCAATTTATGGAATTTTCAAATTACCTCTCTTGTGGGTAAATTCTTAGTAATATACACTCTTACTTTAAAGAATTCCAGGTTCTTGAATAGTTCTCTTCAGCTTTTCTTTCTTATATAATGATTCAACAATTCTATACATTACTCAGTACTCATCACAATAAGTGTACTCTTAGTTTCCTTTATCTGTTTCACCCATCCCCCCCACCTCTTTTCTGCCAACCACCAATTCTCTGTATTTAAGGCTCTGTTTCTTGTCTCTTTTTTTCTTTGCTTGTTTTGTTTCTTAAATTACACATATGGGTGAAACCATATGGTATTTGTCTTTCTCTGACTTATTTCATTTAGCATTATACCCTCTAGATCTACCCATGTTGTTGGAAATGGGCAGACCTCATTCTTTTTCACTGCTGAGTAATATTCGTGTGTGTGTCCGTGTGTCCCCATCCATCTGTCCATCCCACATCTTCTTTATCTTGTCATCTATGGATGGGCACTTGGGTTGCTTTCATATCTTGGCTATTATAAATAATGCTTCCGTATACATAGGGGTGCACATATCTTTTCCTACTAGTATTTTTTATTTTCTTTGGATAAATATCCAGTAAGTGGAATTACTGGATCATATGGTAATTCTATTTTTAATTCCTTGAGGAACATCCATACTGTTTTCCACAGTGGCTGCACCAGCAGTATACAAGGGTTCCTTTTTCTCCGTATCCTGACCAACACTTGTTATTTCTTGCCTTTTGATTCTGGCCATTCTAACAGGTGTGAGGTGATCTCTCATTGTGGTTTTGACTTGCATTTCCCTGATGATTAATGATGTTTAGCATCTTTTCATGTATCTGTTGACTATTTATATATCTTCTTTGGAAAAATATCCCTTCAGGTCCTCTGCGCATTTTTAATCAGATTATATGGAGTTTTTTGATGTGGAGTTGTAGAAGTTATTTCTATATTTCAGATATTGACCCTTTATCAGATTATATCATTTGCAAATAATCTTCAGGTTTTTAGAGTTTCAAAAGAATCACTTAAACCAGGAGGGATATTTTCCCTGGAATTGCAGATTACACCTTTTGTGTATAAGGATTTCACTAAAAACCAATCTAAGTGGGGAAAAGAAGACAGTAGCAAAGGAGAATTTGAGACCTCCTCTCAGGGAAAATAGCAGCAAGACTGGGTAATCTTGTTTCTGCTTTTCCTCTGGGAAATTTTATATAGGGGAGTTGGTGGAACATACATAGTCTTCACCCATGAAGGCCTACCTTTCTGAACCTTAGAATGCAAGTTAATAGAGCAAAGGAAGTAAGTAAACAAGTGCCTGCCAGTTTCATGTGGGTAATTTACATCTCCTGTATTACTGAGCAACTTTGCTCATACTCTGTCTCCTTTACCTTGGCTTCCCCCTGGGGTCATCCTTCTCAAACTTGAAAAACTATTCAAGAGAGAGCCTGAGATCCGAGATATAAGATGAGCATGGTGTAGTTCCATGACATGACAATTTTACTTATAGATTTGAGGATAAATATATTTGCATTAAATATACATATATTAAACATGTATTAAAAGGGATAAAGTAAAAGGTCACATGAAGGTATTTTTATATAAATTTTTTACTATAGTATATATTAATACAAAAAAGTATGTAAATAAAAAATGTAAAGCTTGGTGAATATCAGGAAGATAAACTATGTAACCACTAATTTATTTTGATAACTGCATACTTTATTTTTGTAAGTGATCTTTTCCCATTCTTTTGCTCTTAACTTTCTGAATATACTTAATGTGTCTCCTATTAGCAACATGTAGTTGGGTTTTTTTTTTTCTGTAGTCTGGCTGGCCATCTTTATCTTTTACATATATTTGCGTTAAAATCAATCATATCACTATTTGTTTTCTATTTATTTCATCTATTCTTTATATACTGCTCTTTTTTCCTTGTCTTGCTTTTGATTATTTTATTATTTCATTTTTTTCTGTTTTAGTTATATATTCATTTACTATTTATTGTAATGATTATACTAGCAATTACATTATACATCCTTAGTCTTTTAAAGTTTAACATTAGTACTTTCACCACTTCTGGACAACAAAATGATTTTAGAACACAAACTCTCTGTGTCCTCCTCACAATTTTGTACCACTTATGTCATTTGTTTTAATGATAATAGTAATATCTTGTGGGATATTATATCATACATATTAATTTATATATAATATATACCATATAATATAAAAGAGAAAAAAGGTAAATTTAAGTATTTTGACAGCAAAAAAGAAAAAGAACATGGAAAGCAGGCTTGGGTTCACAGAGGATTCTGATGGGAAGAAGAGGAAATTCTGTGTGTAAATACTGACCTATTTACCCATGCCCCACCTACAATGATTCTCCAACTTATTACTCATCTATTTTATTGAATTGTCCACAAGGTGTGCTTTAGCATCAACTAAAGGGATAAAAGTTAAATATTCTCAGAAATGTTCTCCTATATGGAAGGAATTAACTTTCCCATATGGCTCAAAGTTATCAACTTGTTTTTTTGTGTGTTTTTTGTGGTTTTTTTTTTTAAGTTATCAAGTTTTTTACTCATGGTATGTATATTTGCTTTATAATTTATAACATGCTGCTAATTTTTTTCTTACAGAAATACACTTTCGGGAAATGGCCTCTAAATCTTGGCTGAATTTTTTAACCTTCCTTTGTGGATCAGCAATTGGATTTGTTTTATGTTCTCAGCTATTTAGTATTTTGTTGGGAGAACAGGGTGATACCCAGCCTAATATTCTTCATAATGATCCTCATGCTAGGCACTCAGATGATAATGGACAAAATCATCTAGAAGGACAGATGAACTTCAATGAAGATTCTAGCCAACATAAAGGTATGGTTCACTTTATTAAGGAGTAAACAAATAGTATTTTTCAGTCTGTGTGTTCTGAGAATTGGAAAAAGCTATTTATGTGAATTTTGTTGTACACAATATTTTTTGATGAAAATGAGCTTAATTCCCAATATTTAATGACAGCTCTTGGTTTGCCTCAGGAAGGAAATTGCTAAAACCCAGATTTATTTAGGGAGTAAGATATTAATTTTGAATTTATTTTTAAATAGAGACAGTTCAGAAACTGTAATTTGGGGGAAGGCAAAACTTTTCAGATTAGATTTTTTTTGAAAATACTTATTTAGTCTGATTTTGTTGTCATGGTTTATATCTGTGTCTTTAGTGTTTTTGCTATTGTCTTGTTTTGGTCTTAGTTTTTGCTTAGTCTTGTTCTAGAGAAACTCAAGAGGTATATATAAATCTCAATTTATATTTTTTCAACTTATATTTTTATCAGTAACTAATATAACTAGTCTTTTCACCTTTTAAGAGGCATAAAAATCTAGGGAGGTAGAAACTAAGGATATGTTATAATGACTTCATTTTCTTTTGGTTACCTACCTCTAACCGGATGTTCTCAATTGCGTCCCCTACGTGCCAACATTTAAATGTTGGTTTTCTCCAAGTTTCTGTCCCTTAGCTGTCTCTTTGCTTGTGTGATATCATCAATTCCCATAGTTTTGGCTTCCATCTATTCTTTACTGTCTTTATCTTAGCCCAGTTCCAAACACTGTGAAAAAACATTAACGTAATTCAAAGATCTCTACAAATGTTATTTATTTGACAATAAAGAATACAGCAGCTTGGAAACAATTGGAATTCTGAGTTGCAGAGGGTCGCTCCATTAAGAATTGTTTCTTTTATCTTTTTGGTAGTAAATACCAAGCAGAGGCTGAGGGATGAAGTGTACTACATCCTGGTTGAGTTATATGAACTAGCAAGCACATGCATACTATTACAAATTATGTCATGTTATATAAATGTTTATATAACTGATTCAGCTCTGAGTAGGTGCTCTGTGTTCTTATCATAGAGCAGTTCGATCACTGGACACTTGCTCTATAGCCTTGCTCTGGATTGTTAAAGGATTGGCGCCATGCTTCTCTACCAGTAGGGTGTGTCAGGTCAGTGCAGGCACATTTATTAGGTCCCTACTTGTCCTGCGTAATGGTCCACATCTGTCTAAGCTAGAAACTATGAAGTCATGGTAGGTATTTTCCTTCACTTACCAATCAATCCCATTTGTCATAAGTTCCAGCATTCTGCCTCTTTACCATTTTTCAAATTTCCTCTCTCAGTTCATTTCCCCTAGTTCAGGCCTTCAGTTATACCCATGTACCTGCACTCAACCAAACTTCACTATACCTTTTGTCCTTTCTTACTGTGTAAAATGTAAAATGAGCTTCTGCTCATTTAAAGACCTATTTTCTGCATCATCTCTGTTTTCCCTGATTTTACTTTATCTCTTCTCTGTTCCAGCCAGGTTCCCGTTTCATTGCTCTATAGGATTTATCAGCCACTGCTTTCTTTTTCTGCAGCACATTGAATCCTTTTACATACCTCTATTTTAGCATGCCAAGGTCCACTACAAGACTGAGTTCTTCTGTAGCAGGACATGTGTCGTACTCATCTTTTCATCTCCTGAGCCAGCACATGCCTACAAAGTAATTAATGAAGGAATAATTACAGAATGAGAAAGAATATCTACCAGATCCCAGCAGTGGGGAGAAGGTTGTCTTGTTCAAATTGAAACATTGAGAATTCCTGAATCTACCATTTTCCCTCTGCATCCAGTATTTAGTTTATCTATAGCCAGGAGATTGGGCTCCTCAAGTACATGAAATGTGAATGCTCTCTGACTGAAGGGTGGTGATTCTGTCTGTTTTTGAATTGTGAATTATTGATTTTCAGAAGGATATGAGAATATTTTCGAAAATTCCATGCCCAACCTCACCCAACCATCAGTTAACTAGAAATTTATGCCTCCAGTTGCTAATTTTTCACAGGACTAAGTTTTTGTAACTCACTGGTTGACTTTAACTTTAAGGATATGCTTCCTTAGGATTCTGCCTACAGCATTACTACAAAAAGTGTGGTTTTGCAGACTCGTGCTGGTCCACAACTACATAAGTATTGAAAATGGGACTACACAGAAACTTTCAGGGTAATTTAACAGAGTAATTTTGTCTAAATCAAAACATAAGAATTAGGATTTGTATTTTATATTTCTTTTTTTAGTTTTGTTTTTCTAGTAATTCATTTTTAGCATATTTATAAAAGTATAGGTCTCTAACTATTAGAAATAAAAATTGATCCTTCACCAAGCACTGATCTAGAATCTTAAAATTGGACTCTTCCTTTAAACCAGTGATACTCAATATGTGATCCTGGCCTGATGGTCTGAATTGTTTGTTACCAGTCTGCACCCAGATAAGGAGCTTGCACCAGGATGTAGCTCATTTAAGCTCACTGCTTAGTTAAGTGGACTTTTTTGGAGGAAGAAGTAATATGTGCTTTATATTCTGGCATGGCTCCCTATTTCTTTACAAAGGAGTACTTTGAAAAACACTGCTCTAGACAATCTTGGAAATACTATTGCTACCTGTTCTGTTTCTGACTGATGGATTTGCATGTTAGAATGAAATATGTTACTATCAAAAGTAACCTCAATGCTGCATTAACTCCTCTTCTTCAAACTGGGGTAGTCATGAGAGCCTTTTTTAAAGCCACCTAAAGATACTTGTATAAATTCGTAATAGTGAATCTTGTGGACTCCAAAATGAATTATTTCAGCAGCATGTCTTTTCTGTCCTTCAGAAGTTTATTTAGAGGTGCAAGAAATTCCTGTCAGTGTTCTGTTGAGAACTAGTTGAAGCTTTCTTTGTCGAATGAAGTGAAAAGCAGATACTGTGTAAGACCGTGCTTTATATGTATACCAATCTCCAGGAGAACTTGTTAAAATGCAAATTCAAATCGAGTAGGTCTAGGGTGGGGCCTGAGATGTTGCATTTCTAACAAGCTCCCAAGTGATGCTGATGCTGTTTGGTCAATGAACCACAGTTCAAATAGTAAGAATTTAAGTTATAGTGGCAATTCTTGTTAACTGCAATGGATCTCCTGGATAAAACTGACATGAAACCAATAAATCAGAATGTCAGTTCATATAAGGTTGAGTTTTACTTTGTTTCAGCTAAATTACTGATGGTAGAAAGGTGAACAGGAGGGGGTTTTTGAAATTGTTTAAGAAAATTTTTCTTCAATATAATTTATTTGAATTTTACATCTATGTAAATATAACTCTAAAAATTTTTTGTTTAATAGATGAGAATACAGACATCGCTGAAAACCTCTATCGAAAGGTTAAAATTCTTTGCTGGGTTATGACAGGGCCTCAAAATCTAGAGAAAAAGGCCAAACACGTCAAAGCTACATGGGCCCAGCGTTGTAATAAAGTGTTGTTTATGAGTTCAGAAGAAGATAAAGACTTCCCTGCTGTGGGATTAAAAACCAGGGAAGGCAGAGACCAACTATACTGGAAAACAATTAAAGCTTTTCAGTATGTTCATGATCATTATTTAGAAGATGCTGATTGGTTTATGAAAGCAGATGATGATACATATGTTATACTGGATAATTTGAGATGGCTACTCTCAAAATATAATCCTGAAGAACCCATTTACTTTGGGAGAAGATTTAAGCCCTATGTAAAGCAGGGCTACATGAGTGGAGGAGCAGGATATGTACTGAGCAAAGAAGCGTTGAAGAGATTTGTTGATGCATTTAAAACAGAGAAATGTACACATAGTTCCTCCATCGAAGACTTAGCATTGGGCAAGTGCATGGAAATTATAAATGTAGAAGCGGGAGATTCCAGAGATACCATTGGAAAAGAAACTTTTCATCCCTTTGTACCAGAACACCACTTAATCAAGGGTTATCTACCTAGAACCTTTTGGTATTGGAATTATAACTATTATCCTCCTGTAGAGGTAAGTTTAAAAATTTTATTACTGTATAAATACTTAGACTAACTTTTGTTTACTTAAAAAAAAAAACTAGAAAATAATGTGTTTCTTTGGTACCAAAAACTAAGAATCTCCTTTACTCCTTTTATATAGAGTGGCGATGTATAACAAAATAGATGAGAACATGAGTGTCAGCACTAGTAACTCAGTAAATATTGCTACTGTTACCTACTATTTATTGCCTATGTCACGCATTAAAAACATAGCAATAAATATGGCCAAGTTCCAGTTCTTGTGAACCTTATAACAGTATATTATGAATCTACATTCTGGATACAGAGACATACAGTAAACAGGCAGACTAATAAAGATAAAATATGATTTGAGGTAGTGATAAGTGTCCTAAGGTAAAATAAAGCCAAGTGAGGGGATAGAGAATGACCCAGAGTGGAGTGGGGCACCCTAGTTTGGGTGATTAAAGAAGGTGTCTCTAAGAGGTGACTTCTGAACAGAAATCTGAGTGAGGTTAGAGAGTAGGCTGTGTGAAGAGCCTCCTGGGCTTTAGGAACAATATGTGAAAAGACTTTGAGGTTTAGAAAGACCTAGATTCAAGTTTTCTCCCGCTTAATAGTTCAGTGACCTTCGATGGACAGAATTTGCCCAATTTCTGAGCCTGAGTTGCCTCATTTGTAAAATGGACCAGATTTACCTGTTTCATTCAGTTGTGATTACAGTATAATACAGTGCCTATCACACTGTAAGCATGTAATAAGCCTTACCTCTCATTTGACACCTTAGCCTCCATTCCTGAGGATTTTATCTAAAATACATTATTTTATTAAATATCTCAGCTAAATGTTTAAGAAGAATTAATATCTTATACCCACCAACTAGCTTTACCATATGTTAATCTTTTGCCACATTTGCTTCCTTTTTTAAAAGAAAAAGGTATAGGGGCGCCTGAGTGGCTCAGTCGTTAAGCATCTGCCTTCGGCTCAGGTCATAATCCCAGGGTCCTGGGATCGAGCCCCGCATTGGGCTCCCTGCTCCGCGGGAAGCCTGCTTCTCCCTCTCCCCCTGCTTGGGTTCCCTCTCGCTGTGTCTGTCTCTGTCAAATAAATAAAATCTTTAAAAAAAAAGAGAAGGTTATAGATACAGTTGAGGCCTGTGTATACCTCCCCAATCTAGTTTTCTTATCTTCTTCCTCAGTGCTAACCACTATCATGAATTTAATATTCGTCATCACCATGTACGTTTGTATCTTTTTTCATACATGTTTATGTATCCGTAAGTAATATATAGTATTGTTTTTTAGGTTTTTAAATAAATAGAATTAATCCATAAATATCCTTGAACATTTGCCCTTTTCATACAACATTAAAATGTATCCACATTATTATATGTATGTGCTTCATTAATTTAGGCTGCTCTGTAATCTAACATGAGCATATGTAATTTATCCATTCACCTACTGATACACATTTAGTAGATTGTTTCCCATTCATCACTGTTAGGAGCATTGCAGCAGTGAGTGACTGACTGAAGGACATCAGGAATCACGAAACCTAGCTTTTAGATTCAGATCTGTTATTGATTAATAATGCATATAGGCAAGTCATTAGTACTCTATGCCACCTTTTTTCTGGCCCTAAGATACAAATAATACACTTCATGCTAGCATTTTCATTTTCACAAGCCAGTGTTTTCAAATCATTATCTAGGACAGTGCTTCTCAACTGCAGGCTTTTTTGCCTCCCAGAGCACATTTGGCAAATTCTGGAGACATTTTTGGTTGTTAACTGGGAGACTGGCATTGGGTGGAGGTTGCTACTGGCATCTAGTGGGTAGAAACCCACAAGATTGTAAACCCACTAGATGCCAAACATCTCACAATGCACAGGATGGCTCCCCACAATAAAGAATTATCTGGACTAAAATGTCAGTAACACTGAGGTTAAGAAACTTTGACCTAGAACATTTGACCCAATCTTTAGACAATCAGCTTTAAAAGGAAATGTTGAAGCAAATCACTACTGCAATTACCAGTATGTTCTTGGTACTTACACAGACACAGTAATTCCTAACAGTAGTTCTGCATTTAATAGGTGACAGAACTGAGGATCAGAAAAGTCAAGTAGTTTGTCCTGAAAAATAGTCTAGGCAATATTACAAACCATGCTGATTATAAACTCTTGTGATTTCATCATGAGTTCCCCTCCATGATTAATGTGTGCCCCAAAGGGTTGGGGGGTGGGGCTGAGGGATGTTAGAATAAATATTCTGCTGTTGGGATAAAATTCCACTTTAATAAATAGTTTAAAGTTCAGTTCTACGTAATGAATCTGTTTGAAACCTTATGCTAGCATTTTATTGCTCTTGTGGATGCAACAGTTTCCTAGACTGTAAAACAGATGTATTCCTAATTCTGGTCTGTGATAGTCTATTTTTGTTTTGTTCTAGTGAGGTACTACTTTGATTTTTTTTTTAAAGATTTTATTTATTTGAGAGAGAAGGAGAGAGAGCATAAGCGAGAGAGAGCACAGTGGGGGCGGGGGGAGTGGCAGAGGGAGAGGGAAAAGGAGGAGCAGACTCCCTACTGAGCAGGGAGCCCAACGCGGGGCTTGATTCCAGAACCCTGGGATCATGACCAGAGCCAAAGGCAGATGCTTAACCGACTGAGCTACCCAGATGCCCCTGAATTTTTTTTTTTGATGTAAACTTTTCTTAGTATAATCTGACCATTCCAAGATTACTTGACCTCTTCCCTTCTTAATGCTGTACCCTTTCCCACATAAAAATATATCCAAATTTAAGAACATTACAAATAGATATAACAAAGACACCTAAATGCACATTTTACTGAGAGTATCTGCTACATACAGTAATAGCAAAGGGACATGATAATTGTCACTATTTTGTAACCAGTAAAATATCCTTCTTTCCTTTAAGAGTGCTACACACAGTTCCCACCTACAGATAGAGTATACCTAACAATATACTTTATATGAACAAAATAAATATTTCTATGGTGCATCTTTTATTTAAATTGTAGTGGTTTTTAAAATGGATGCAAAATTTTATGTTCTTTCTATAAAAATTTATTCAGTTATATAGAAGACAATAAAATAGACTTGGAAGGACCAAAATTGACCCAGCTTTCTAATGTTGCCTCTTCTCTCCCAGGAGGTTCAATACAAACACATGTGAAATCCAACTTCTATTAATACTTATCCATCATTTAATAAATTTTGTTTTCCATAAGTAAGTTACTATTTTCAGAGTTATTCTAAATTTCATACATACACTTTTGCTCTGTAGTAATCATGGAAAACACAGTGTGGAAAATTTTTATTTTAGCAAGTCAGTGTGTGAGATATACAGCTGATCAAAGAGTTATGTTCTTAAATTGGTTGTTTAGAACTTACTCTTCATGCAGTTCCCTTTTCACACCACCTTCTCACTTCCCTAGAAGTGAGTTTATTCCCTAGGACTAAAGTCTGCTCCCTAGGAATAGACTTCATCAGAGAATTTATAATCAGTCTTAATACAGAGGATTTAAAATAGTGTATATGTGTGTAATAGTCTTCATGTAATAGTGTGTATATATATATACACACACACATATACACACACACATGTACACATACACACATATGTACATATGCCCCTATATGTGAAATTGCCTTTTTTATAGGTCAGAAATGATCAAATAGGGTTTATTCTGTTCCTCAGTTCTAACTACATTAACTATAACCCATCTGAAACTTACTGATATATGGTTAAGGTTGAGAGCTCCTGATTTTTCCAAATTGTTAACTGATTTTTCCAGTACCATTTTTTAACCAAATCTTATTTTCAGTAGTGATTTAAAATAATCCCCTTTATCATATACTGTAGTGTTACTTACAGTAGTAGGATTGGTGTCTGGTATTACAGTTCTGTTCTGTCATCCTATTTGGTTTTGCCTCAGCACCATATCGTCTTAAACCTTGTAGCTTTACAGAATTTTGAAATTATTACTCTAAGAGTGTATATTCCTATACTTTATATCTCTTTTTCTTTCAAATTGTCTTGGTAACACTCATGCCTTTATGTTTATGTATTAATTTTTCAATTTAGGGACAATACCTTTGCCTGGGATTTTTAAAATTTATTTTAGGTCTTTTAGTAACTTTATAGATTTCTCCAGATTTTATTTCTTCTTAAGTATCTTATGTTTTTAATATTTTCACTACTGTTCTACTTGGGCTCCTTTGTAATTAACTAGTATATATATAAAAGCTGTTGTTTCTTAAAAGCATCTTTAAAATCTGGCTCTGTTCCTGGATTCTCTATATCTGATGATTTTTTACTTGACTCTCTTGAGTTTAGGTAGTAGCCATTATTATATGCAAAGAACTGTTTTGTTTCTAATAGTTATAGCTGTTTTCTTTTACTGTGTTTTTATTGCTTATAAATCGTAGTAACAGTATCCTCGTCATCTAGTAAAAAAAACAGTAATGCAATAGAATGAAACATAATGCAGTAAATCTTACCAAAAATATTATTATAGTGTTTCAGGGTCATATAAAGTTGCTTTCAGAGAGGATCAGCAATTTAAAATTCACTGCTATTGGTCTAGTCTTTTTAGTTTAATATGTACTGGCCAGTATAGTAGCCAGTAGCCAGGTGTGACTGTTGCGTACTTGAAATGTGGCTAGACCAAATTAAGATGTGCTGTCAGTATAAAATTCATTCCTGATTTCAAGAACCTAGCACAAATAAAAAGAATGATTTCATTAATAATTTTTAAGATATTGATTGCATATTGAAAAAAGAATAATAGGATTTATTCATTTGAAATATATTCAAATTAATTCCTTTTTTTTTCTTTTTAAATCTGGCTTCTAGATTTTGAACTGCATCATGTGGCTCACGTATATCTATTGGACAGAGCTGGTTTGATGATCACAAGTTGACTTATCATTTTACTTTTCAGATTTGTTCCTATCCTTACATTGCCTAACGGTGTTAAGAAGTAGGCACCAAATAATTTTCTAGTGCCTACGTGGTTGTCCAGAAACTCCACATATCCGGTGTTTGTTTCAAAGGAAAGTTCAGAGAGAAAGCCAGAGAAAATACAGTGGACAATTCCCTTATAATTTATACTGCATCGTAAGCTACCTACTTCCAGACATGAATTATTAAATGTTCAGTATGAATCTTCTCTGGGAACTTGCCAGAATATCTTTCTTCTTAGGTCCTTGCAAAGACACTAGATAGAGTCTGAAGTTTTGTTGAAATCACCTGGGTGAAACATTTTCTAGATACCAAAATAATCTTTTTTTTTTTTTTTAAGATTTTATTTATTTATTTGACAGAGAGAGAATGAGAGAGAGAACACATGAGAGGGGATAGGGTCAGAGGACAAAGCAGACTCCCCACCGAGCAGGGAGTCTGACGCGGGACTCGATCCGGGGACTCCAGGATCATGACCTGAGCCGAAGGCAGTCGCTTAACCAACTGAGCCACCCAGGCGCCCCTAGATACCAAAATAATCTTACAACTGTTTAATTCTGGGGCCAGTTTTGTTTTTTGTTTTGTTTTTGTTATGTTCTTGCCTTTTTTTATGTTGTATTTTTTTTATTATCTTGTTTTTGTCTTTTTTAGACCTGTTCTCATACCAACTCTGTTAGGAATCTATATCTGGACAAATGTTTAACTTTGACCTACTTACTGAGGACCACCTAAATGTGATTATTTTGTCAATAATGTCAACATTTATTGAGAATTTACTATAGGCCAAGCTGATTCCAAGCATTTTATATACATTATCTCCTTTAAGTAACCATCTTTTGCAGATGGGGAAATTGAAGCTTATAGAGATTAAGTAACTTGCCCAAGGTCATACACTAGTAGGCAGAATTTGACCCTAGTAGACAAACTTTGAATTCAAACTTAGATTTGACTCAGTACTTCCTCTCTTAAATATTGTACTGTTTGGGTTGATGTGCAGATGAAGTATTAGTTTCAGACACATAATGGGCAAGGGTTTTGTAGTCATTGAATGCTCCAAAGGTGTCTTTGTGAGGTTGAGCCACGCAAAAAGTTAGGGTGAGAACATGTGAAGTTTGAAAGCAAAACTTGGAAATAGAGCTTCATCCTTTGTATAGCTGCCCCTTTCATTTGAGGAAGTCTCAAGATTTTTTTCAGTGAAAACACTATAGAATATGAAAGAATATTATTTCAGGTCGATATATTTTAGTGGTTTTCATGTTTAGTTTTAAATCATTAAGAACTCTAAAAACTCTTGGTTTCTTCCACAGGTCTAATAAATAAGGTGCCTCTGCTTTACCTTGCCAACTTTAATGCTTGGATTCTGTTAAAATTAATGTTTCCTTTATCAGTATGTGAATATTGTGTGTTAATTATGTACTGTTTCTTAATAATGCCTGTTTCTGCTACTTTTTTAGGGTCCTGGTTGCTGTTCTGATCTTGCAGTTTCTTTTCACTATGTTGATCCTACAACTATGTATGAGTTAGAATACCTCGTTTATCATCTTCGTCCATATGGTTATTTATACAGATATCAACCTGCCTTACCTGAGAATATACTAAAAGAAATAAGTCGAGCATACAAAAATGAAGACCCAAAAGTAAAATGAGAACTCTTGAAAGAAAAACATAAATGAAGAGGTAAAATGTCTAGCATTGCACTGAAGAACTTCTACATTTCTGATACAGAACACTGGAATCCCAGTGAGGAATTCTTTCTAAGTGAACATTCCATATTAGAAATCTTTCATATGAATGACTGTAAACTGAAGCTTTAAGTGAGCTGTGAAGTCTGTTAAAATGTGTTTTGATACAGTAATATATAAATATATCTGAAAAACTTGTGTTTTTAAAATGTGGCCAGGCAGAGGGACTAGAAACAAGATTTTTGTTTTCTCTTCTTGACCACATGTATTATTTTCACTGAGAAACTAGAACATTTAAATTTTCTAAAACTACACTGCACATATTAATAACACAGATGATGCTAAATAGATCTGCCTTAAAGAAAATTTTAGAAGGAAACAGTGTTGCTTAATGTTATTTATAAACTCAAGACATGAGCAGTATGATATAAATGAACAAAACCCCCCCCACACACACTCATACATGCAGGTTTTGTCTAATGAAAATTTCCTGTGACTGTAATTGGCAGTATTTCTTCCAGACAAGGTAAAATAAGAATGGCACTTATCCTAAAGTGCATTAATAAAACCACATTTTGAAATTATATGGTCTTTGACTGTATTATATACTTGGTTCTAATTAGTAGTTAATGTTTTACTGAGTCCCCGTTGTCTCTCTTCTAAATATGTTTATTTTGAATACAATTTTAATTATTAATATTTATTTACTCAAAGTATTAATAGCATTCTATAAACATGCATTTTAAAATATTTTGTTCCCAAATTTACCCATTGTTAATTGTGGGTAATTAATAAATAGTAAATTTAATGCTATTTGGGGATGCTTTTCTTAGATCAGTTCCACTCTCAGGAATTACTAAGTGACATTTTAAATTGATTATTTAAAACTCTTTCCAACTACATAATTATAGTTCCTTTTGTTATCATCCTGTTGAGAGATGAGAATTTGTTTGTGCCTTTAATAACTTATTTAAAGCAAAGTTTAGACATTCATTTTTAGGCTCTGAGGTGGCTATTAGTTACACTGGCAAAATAATTTGAATGTACAATTTTGACGAGAGTTGACTAAAAACATTAGAAAAACAGAGTGCTTAAGGAAACTGAAATATGCCAGATATTAAAAGACCAAATACTTAATTCATGCATAACTGCCTGAATTTTGATGCTGACTTATTATTTGGGGTGGTTTTTTGTTTGTTTGTTTGGGGTTTTTTTTGGTGTTTGGTTTTGCCAGTGGATAATTCTAACAGCAGAATACCCAATTCAACACTGTCATCAAAAATATATTCATAAATATTTCATTCTAATTTTAGTGACTTTCTATTTAAAGAATTTCTGGAAGGAAAGAAAATTTTAAGTTTTGTTTTCTTTAGCAATATTATCTGAGTATATCATACAAGAATATTTTGCAGACTTTCTGTAAGATTATCTTAAATGTTACAAATGATTTACATTGTTTATGTTTATCATTATGCTAATTTTACATGGTTGTCATGCCATTGAATCTGCTGCTTAGCTAAAGAGTTTATATTTATTGTGCCAAAACATGTCAAAATCGTCATCTCTTTGGGTGGTATATTGAAAGGATGTTCATCTTGGTGACAATTAGTGGTAATTATGGATTACTCTGTCCACACAGTGAAAAGTCACACCAGTTTTTACCTTAAATTGTCTTTTGTTGTTTTCATGACACTATCACCTGCCAGAATTTCAAGGCATTCATTCTATTCTTTGAACAACTCTTCACCTTGGTGTGGATATGAATTTTACAGTCCATGTATACTACTTTCTATAAAAACCTTAAAATTTACTCATAGGAAGTTAACATTGTGATGAATCCTGGGGTCTGGAGTCAGACTGCCTGGGTTTAAATTCTTGATCTATCACTTACTAGTTTTGTAACCTTGAGCAATTTACTTAATCTCTCTCTGTGCCTCAATTTTCTCATCTTAAGGGACAGTAATACTATCTACCTCACAGGATTTTTATGAGGATTAAATGAGTGAATATATGTACAACTTTTAGAATACTTGTCTGGCCCAGACTATGGAGCAATAAGTATAAGGTTTTACTATTCTGTTACCTTAGAGTGTAAATATTTGTTCTAAATGAATGAAAAAAATCTGCTTTAATCAAATTAGATATTGAAGGACTTATTTCATACATTTCTTATAATAAGTAATAGCTAGTTTTTATCTAATGCCTACTGTGTGCCACGTAGTGTGCTTTAGATATTCTGTGTACATTAGTGTTAATCTTCACAAATTGGGTGTTCTTCCTGTATCGTAGATGAGAAAACTGAGGCTCAAAGAATTAAAGTAATTTTTCCACTGTCACAGAGCAAGTAAGTAACAGAGCCAGGATTTATGCTGAAAGCCTGTGTATTCTTTGTACCATGTCAGCCTTGAGGTTAGTCATTTAGCACTATTTCTTTCCATTTTTACTTATTAACATGTGTGATCTCATACATCAGCCAGTAATAGACAAATTAACCAGCCAGATTGTCATAGTGACTCTCAAATTGTGGTTCTTCTACTCTTCCCTGGGAACTTGTTAAAATGCAGATTTCAAGACTCCAGTCCCAGAAATTCTGATTCTAGCATGAGGCCCATTAGTATGCATTCTTACCAGATTCCTTTGGTCAGTGGTTCTCAAAGTGTTGTTCCCAACTAGTAGTATTTGCATCATCTGGGAACTTGCAAATGCAACCTCTCCTGGGCCCCACCTCAGACCTGAGTCAGAAGCTCCAGGGGTAGAGGCTAGCAGCTGTCTTTTAAACAAGCCCTCCAGGTGAGTCCTATTCATTCTAGTTTGGGAACCAATCTGATGCAAATTGATTGTTGGAATGTGCTAAAGATTTATTGCCCCACAAGTAGGGTATCTTTCAAAGATTTAGATGAAGGATGTTTTAAATCTGTGTCCTCCCAAGATCACACCATATTAAATGTGAGAGACTTTAAAGATAACTTAAAGGGTCCGTGGATCATTCATTTTTTGACAAAATTCTTTAGCTTTTTCAGATTGACTAATACCAGGGCCCACAGTAACATATGTAATTCTCCAAGTTTAGTAATTTAACAATTGGGGCAGGAAGAGTTTAAGTACTGTACGTAATTCTTTAAAAGCATACCTAAATGAGTGTCCTCACTTGTTAGTAAAAAAAACTTTCCAATTGTTAGTAAAAAACTTTAAATGGAGGTAGCAAAATACTGCTTTATAATATGCAGAATGTTTTTCTGCTAATTCAATATGATCAAAATTTCATCACTTTCAAGAGTCAGTTGACTGTCCTAATACAGCAAAAAATTATCCAAGTATTCAGTAGAGAACATACAAGCAGATTTCATGATGGTAACTTACCATCTTTTAAATTAAGATCTTTGTCATTTGGATAAATTATTTTAGTGTGGTCTCAAAACATAAGGCTTTTGCTATCTTTATGTTTCCCAGTAACAGTAAACTTATATTTCAAGTGAGAAGTTCATAGATGATACAAAGCAGATTTTTGTCCCAGAGTTCAATTATTTGTTTTTAAATATCTTAAATTTCAGAGGAATTTTTGTTACTGTAAGAATTCAAAATAAATTACTGGCCAGTTTTTAGTATTTTTTGAAATACAGTAATTGCATTTGAGCATTAAATTTGTTAACTGATTATTTTCATAATTGTTTCTTGAGTATGAATTTTTCACTTCCTTGAGCCTATCGAACTATAGTATTTCCAGATTGAGACTTGAAAAAAAATGCCTCACTTTATTGATTAGATCAAGTCTATCCTTTTGTTCTTCATTTGATTCAGTTCATTAGAGTATTCTGTCTTTGACAATTTCTTCTTCTTTGTATTTGTTGCCCTTTATTTTCTTTACAACTAATTTCCATTTCCTAACTACCCCTAATGCTGCTTTTGCAAGGTTAATTTGGCTGTAATTAGTGATTAGAATTTGTATCACTTACTAATAATTTTATACCTATTAACTTTAGATTTCCCTAGGAGATTGGAAATAAAAAGTCTAAGAATAATGCCTGCTGGCTCTAAGGATATTTGCCCTACTTAAAAGTCTACAGTTTTAAACTAATTCTAGATAAATGATTACTAAATGAACTAAAGTTATTTGGATTCCATTTCCTCTACACCTTTTTCTCAAAAACAAACCAAAAAAACTCATTTGCCTCATTTCTCTACTTTATTGTAGGGCTGACAGAAACATTCTTAAGCAATCTGGGGAACAACCTGTGGTTTATTTTATGCTAAATATAACCTCTATTGATTTAAGAATATGACTACGTTTATATATTGGAGTTGAAATAGAAGTTTTAATACAGATTTTAAAAACTTTACAAATTCTGTCTAGAGAAACCAACTCTAAAACTAGTTTCAGAAGTGAATAGTGCTCTGTCTCAACTCCTTTTACCTCTAGTTTTTAGTTTATATCAGTTCAGTTTAAATAACTTTGCAGAGCCCTACCAATTAATATTCCATATACAGTATTTATTAGAGGGAAACTAATCTTACTGCTAAGCAGTGTGTTACATTACACAGTGAATATTTGTGTTTTGGAATTTAAAAGTTATGTAAGGTAGTAGTGTTATGAATGGTTTAAAAATGTGTGGTGACTTGCTTATTTTAAGTGATCCACCAATAAATCAGAAAAGATGTATTTTTAAATATGTTTTTTAAAGTGCCTTTTGAACATTTTTAAACAATGGATTTAAACAACTGCATAAAATAAATTACCATGTTTAAAGCTGTTTTATCTGATTATTTTTAACTGATATAAGAGTTATGGGAGACACTAAGGGGTAGTTTTGGGGTTATTTTACCAAAAATATTAATTTAAAGTATTTTCCCATCAAAGTTACTCAATTTGAATAGACTTAAGTAATTTTTACTGCAATATATATCATTTGTCTTTAAAGCAGCAAAATATTCCACCTCTGATTTAGAATAATAACCTTAAAAAAATTAGAAACACTATGTCATCCAGGTAAGTGTGTGTATGTGTACATGGTGGGGGATGCTTTTCTATCTCTTGGTATATTTTGATATATCATATACACTGGAATTCATTTATTCAACTGATTATTCAAATAATATTCAAATAATGCCTAGCAGCTACTAGAAATACAGTGGTGAGCAATACCTATAGGATTTCTGTTTTCACAGAGCCTTAATTCTATAGCTAGACAATAAACAAGTTAATAGATGAATGAACAAGATATTTCAGAGAATGGTGTTAGGAAAAGAAAACAATGATTCATTCAGTAGAACAGTTTTCTGGGTAGGGTGTCAAGGAAGATCTCTAAGGAGGTAGTATTTGAACTGAGACCTGATGACAGACATTTTATATACTTCAAAAGTTATTTATATTTATGAGGCTCTTTGCCCCTACTGTGTAAAAAAAATAATAATAACTTTCCACCTTTGCTTAATTATGCTCTGGGCATATGTAAAGACTCAGTGAAATGCATTTTATGGGCCAAAAACTTTGTGGTTTTAGGTATATTTCATCCAGAGCTCAGGTCTATCTATTGATACTAGATCAGTCTGGTACTTTTAAGATAGAAATAAAAATTGACCTACCTCTTCCTTAAGCAGATGATTGCAGATGTTCATAAGGTCCTTGAGTCTAGCCTGTCTGCCTCAATTTTCAGTAACATGCCACCCAATATGTTCCTTATTAGTGCATATGTACATGTATGTGTGTATATGTGTATATATATACACACTGTCATTTGGATTCACCAGCTTTAGAAAAGTTGAGGAAATGAATGCCACTTTATATTGTTTTAGTAGTGGAGTTGTACAATTTAATTTATTCAGATAACCCTATGTTTTTATAGTTGTACTGCTAATTGAGAAGTCATTTGAGAGGAAACTGATTTACCTAAATACATACATATTTACTATTACCTATTTTAAGTTTTCCAAAGGTATAATCCTGGAAAGAATACAGAATTATTGCTTAATTTATCTTCTTACTAAAGGGAGGGACTCTACCTCAAACATATTTTACTTCAGATTATCCAAATAGAAATTCCTATAGTGTTTAAGACTGAATGAACATTTAACAACCAAAGTTCGGCAACATCGACATTCTCCAGATAAATCTATCAGAATTAGTAAGACATGGAAGTAAACTGTTTTGCCATGAGTTTGTTACTCATTATTGAATTTAGTATTGCTATCTAGAACTTTAACTATTTTAGTTCTTAAAACTATCTTTGTGTTGCATCATTTCTTCTGCCTAAAGAACCACCAGGTGTTTAGTAGTGCTCCTCATTCTGTTACTGATAGCTCTTTTTTTTCCGGGGCTGAAAATTTGTGCAGGGCATTTCTACCCTTTCTGTATTGTATATTGCCTCTGTATAGTGCACTAGAATACAACCACTTTTCTCCCAATAATGAAATATTCATTGTCTTTTTTTATGAAATTCAGTCCTAGGACTTCAGCTATTTGGGTTTTCTAATGAATGTCTAGTGACAGATTAACAGTACTTCCTCATTTGTAGAACAGCTAGGTGATATGCCATCTTAAAACTAATTTGAGTAGCAATGTCTTAGTCTTAACAAGTCATGAAGTTTTGACTTTTGTCAGCTTCAAATCTTTTTTCATAGAACTCTAAACCACATTGTCTTTCCTCTTTCTATTTCTAGACTACCAGAATTATACTCCTGGTAGCATTTAGGTTGAATTTCACTTTCTCTTCATTTTGTTGTTAGACTGTAGAAAGTTGGTGATAAAATCCAGAAAGTAGTTTGAAAAAGAATAATGATCCACTCTTACCTTTAGTTCTATACAAGGCTATCTTCCATGTATTTGCCCTGTTCAGTGCTGTGTGTGTCAGAGATACAGGAATAGTAAGGTATGGTATGGTTATCTTAATACTTGGATTTTTCTTTAATCAAAATACTAAACCTTAATTTTTCATGCTAATTAGGTGTATATAATAAGTAATTTTATTCAAAAAAAGTGATTTTATTCTCTGAGGTGAAGGTAACTATGTGCTTAGACTAGTAAGACATAAAAATGATTTATTGTTTATAAAAAGTAATTTTTACAGGGGCACCTGGGTGGCTCAGTTAAGCCTCTGACTCTTGGTTTGGGCTCAGGTTATGATCTCTGGGTTGTGGGATCAAGTCCCACCTTAGCTACCCGCTCAGCTGGGAGTCTGCTTGAGATTCTCACCCTCTCCCTTGGCCCCTCCCCCCCTGCTTATGTGTGTGCGCATGCATGTGCGCACACGCTCTCTCTCAAATAAATCTTTTATTTAAGATTTTATTTATTTATTTATTTGACAGAGTTAGACACAGCGAGAGAGAGAACACAAGCAGGGGGAGTGGGAGAGGGAGAAGCAGGCTCCCCGCTGAGCAAGGAGCCCAATGCGGGGCTGGATCCCAGGACCCTGGTATCATGACCTGAGCCAAAGGCAGACGCTTAACAACTGAGCCACCCAGGCGCCCCATAAATAAATCTTTTAAAAACATTTTTTAAAATAATTTTTACAGACCTATTTGCCTGGTTACAAAAGCAGAAAAAAAAGGGAAATAATTGAATCACCTATATTTTCTTAATGATCCTAAATTAGACATGTAGCTAGCTATTTCTGAGATCCTAAAGTAATCATGCTATTTGGTTTTTTTCTCATCTGAAAGTTTCAACCTTTACCAGGTTACACCTTCATTTTATGTTTTATTGTCTTTAGACCCTCTTAGACTGCTAAATCCTCAGATTTACCAAATGGAAAACTGGTGTTCAGAAGTCGAATGACTCAGAACAAGTGAAGCAGAACAGTGGTGAGATTGAACCTGAGTCTGAAGTTTGAAAACACGTCAAGATCCAGTCTTCTTTATAATATACTGACTTAGAGGGTAGAAAGACAAAAAACTGGGTGCACATAATTTTAATTTAAGATCACCAATGACTTTATTTAGGGCTATTCACTTACCTCATAATAATGTAAAATAGTGCTCATTAAAGAATATTAATAGAATTTTTGCTGTATATTAAATAGTAGAAATTTGTCTTACTAATTCAGTAGTCATTACAAATTCTAAACTTACAGTGTATTTTCTAAATTTACTCTTTGGTAACTCTAGATTACTGCCTAGCATTACTTAAAACTCACTTTGTCAGGGTGTCTTTAAAAGGGTTTTCTTTTTTCCTCTTTGCATCTAAAACTTTTGATGTAAAATTACCCAAACTTCCTGTTACTACTAAAACTGAAATAAATGAAACAAGAGAAATAGATAGGAAAATGTGAAGCAGGCACTTTACCCAAAAGCATAGTTATTTACGTCAGTGAGATTATTTTTTTAAAGAAGTTAAAGTAGGTTGGTTTCCTTTGACACCCGTTTTTCTCCAGACTCCACCTTATGTGACAGGATGGTAGTGGTTTCCTCCCTAAGTTGTTATTCTTACACCTAAGAATTAAATATTAGCCTCACTCCCTGACATATCATGTTAAAATTAGGAGTTGTCTTGTTTACTTCTTTCACCTCTCCCACAGGTAATTTTTCCTAAGATTCCACCCACGCTTTGTACACAAAAGGTCAGCAAACATTTGATTTATTTCATTGACTTATTAAATATATCAAAATCACACCCAGGATCTCAGAGTGTGGTACTACAGACGTCAAATCTCTTCCTACCCTAATTCTAAACCAGTCAGTGCACACCCTTTTTCATATGAGAAATAATGACAGAAACAATCTGACAAGTAACAATGGGGCTTCTAGAGCCAAGGGTGATTGCAGTTAAATTAAATCTTCACTGTTCTTGACACTTCAGAGCTATCTTCTAGGAATACTTGCCCTCCCTTGTTAACAAAACAGGGAACAAAACTCCTTCTTCAGGGACCTCACTTTTCATTTAGTTCAGCAGTTGGTACTGGGAGCTGTACCTTGAGGCAACACAAGTATTTGAGTGACCCCGTTTTCCACTTAATGGATTGCACACAGGAAAGGTCAGTAATTTGATTCACCACTTTTTTTGCTTCAGTATTTTAGTCTTGAGTCTTGAGTAATTAAAGAGTAATTTTACTTCACTTATGTATTGTGATCCCACAGTGTCCTTCCCACTGAATAAAATTTAGCTCTCTGCTAAACATGTAAGATGGGCGAAGGGTTACCATTAAGAGAAATGGGAACAGATCAGCCCCCTGCTCCATACCACCAGTCAGGACTTTGGCGGACTTCCCACTTTTTATGATTCTAACAGAAAAATCAATACCTTTCCATAATGAGAGGAGGATCACGCTCTCTATCACTGTGAAGGGAGGACTGGCCAGGAGAGGGAAGCTTGAGCTAGGCTTCTGCCTTGAGAGGAAAAGCAGCTTCCAAGTGGTGTGTAGTTCAGCCCTTTGCCTAGGTCTTGTTTTTTCCAAGTCTCTCAGTAGCCCTTCCTTCATTTTCCTTCTACTCTTCAAGTCCAATTCTTGGATTCAGAGGAGTGACTATTTTTACCCCCAGGTAGTTTGCTGGCCCTAGGGTTGCAGAGAGGAAAAGATACAGTCTTGCCCCCGGGGAACTGAATGTTTAGGGAACACTCCTCTAACTTAATGTAACAGAGCCAACGACAGTCTTCAAATATGTCAAAGCAAAATGGGCAATGAAGGGCTTAAAGAGCAAAACTCAGACAACAGATGCCTGTTCACGGAAATAAAGCCCTGCCAGGTGCACTGTCCAGGGCAAAGAAAGTTGCCTTTTGGAGATTAAGCTTTTTATGAGATTAGAATTTGAGAGAGG